TTGTTTTCATGGTAGCGGAGCTAGCCTGGTGATTCTGCGCCATGTATTTCTGGCGCGCCCTTGTTTTTGGATTGTGCTTGTTTTCACGGCTGCAAATCCCGGCCAGGGGTCCGGTGAAACGCTCATGATGCCCAACCACACAATGGAACCTCCCAGGCAGCATCAGAAGCAGGTGAGTGAGGTAGCAAGGACTTATTTGAATACTGTCATTGGTTCGAAGACGTTTGGTGCCGAAACCAAGAAGAACGCAGGTGTATGCTTTGCTTGTCCTTCTGACGCATGGCAGACCCTTGCGCATTCTGAGAAGGATCAGCAGGGTTAGGAGGGTTTGCGACGTATCATGCTTACGCCTCAGCCGGCCACACGCGCACAAGCTTTGGGAGACAGTCATTTCGCAGTCAGTGGTCTCGTTTTTGCTGAATTGAATCTGCCGCAGGTCAGTGTCTCGCAACTGGTTTCAAAGCAGCTAAGCTTTCGAGGTGTTTGGGCGACAGCTGAAGCAGCATCTCGGCGTCACCTCGGATGAAGCAATAGAATCTGACGATCTTCGTGAAGCAACAATAGAATCTGACGATCTTCGTGAAGCAGCGCTATGCCACGAAAGAGCATCTCCATTTAAGAGCAGTACTAATGCAAACAGCGGCGACAGTGGCTTTGATCCGCAAGGACTGCAGCAGATGGAAACTGACTGCGCAGGCGCAGGAAGGTGGCCAGGGCAAAGGCAAAAAGGGTCCTTCGACGAAGGTTTCTCTCTATGGTCATGGAACAATGGAGGTGGTAAGGTGAAGGGCAAAGGGCCTACAACAACCACAGTAAGGTGGTTGTCGCAAGTGCGGGAGCACGAGTCATTGGGCACACGGGTGCCTAAGGAAGAATGAGCAGCACGCTCAAGCTCAAGGACATGAAGAGCAGCAACAGCGCTCGCAGTCCAGCGCAAAGACATTTCCAGCCACACAGCAGCAACGCAACGCAGAGTTTGAGAAGGGTTGCGCTTGCACGGACTGTTTTGAACCTACAGTCGACATGACTGACAGCTTGGATGAAGACTGGCGTGACGGTGGCATCAGCGCGGAAGATTCTGCCTGGCGAGTTTCCACAGAGCCTGGCGCGTGTTCCATCACGAGGACGCTTTCCAGCTATTCCAGCCACAGGTTGATGTTAGTTCTTCACATGTTTTCAATTTGGCAACGAACGGGGGAGTTAAAAGGACAGATTGTTCTGGACAGGCGCAGATACCAATTTCATGGCAGGATTCGGACACTGGCGATGAATGGCACAAATATTTCTGGGCCTGCAGCCTCTCGCCAGCGACGCCTCTTTGAAGTTACACCATGTCATGTCATGTCATGTTTTTTGTCTGAGAAACGTGTCCTGTCCTATGGTATGGCTGGTTAGGTTATGCGTGTTGCCCCAGACGATGCCGGGGCGCACGCACGCACGCATGCCTGGGCCAGCTACCATGCAAAAAACATTGGTTTTTCTTTGTTTTGCGCAGCAAAAACCCTGCAGCTTCAAATCTGCAGCGCCCCAAAGTGCCCCAGCATCACCTGCATCACCAGCATCACCCGCATCAACGGGACAAGCCCGCAGACCCACAAGCCCGAGGCTGCAGACCCGGAACGGGACCCAAAAACAATCCCAAAAACGAAGCAGATGATGCAGGTGATGCTCATCACTTTCCTTTTCACGCACCCCCGGCCGCATCCTCGGCACGCACAGGGTCGGCGGTGCCATGCGGCAGCCCCACAGGGCTTCGCTCTAGAGCCTTGCTCCAAAGGACCAAGGTGGTAATGTGACACAGCCGTTCGGCCAGTTGGCCGCGGGCGGATTTACGTTGCTGGCGCACAACTGGCCGCGGCAGCATCGCGAGGCTCAACCTGACAGCTCTTGCAACGCCGGCAAAGCAGGCAGCAGCGACAACAACAACAACAACATAAACACATCTACATTTCCTTACTTGCACACATACACACATCCATTTTCCAAACATCTTCCCGCAGTTTTCCATCCATCTTCCACGTTTCCCATCTATTTTCTAGCCATCTCCCGTCATTTCGCCATGTCCCCTTCACCGCCCGCACGCACGCAGGCACGCGCGCACAAGCACACACGCGGGCACGCACACGCACTCACGCAAGCACACCCACCCACGCACGCACCCACACACAGGCACACACACACACACCAGACTCACGCGCAACACACACCCACCCACCCACGCACGCGCTCACGCACCCACCACACACACACGCGCGCGCATGCCCTCGCACGTCACGCAAGCGCCCCACACACACGCACACCCTCCCTCCCTCCCACCCACCCACCCACCCACCCACGCGCACGCACGCACGCACGCACGCACGCGGCGCGCGCGCGCGCATGCGCTCGCACACGCACGCACGCAGGCGCGCGCACGCACGCACGCGAAAGCACGCACGCATGCGCGCAAGCACGCGCACGTGCGCGCACGCGCACGCACGCCTGGGCCAGTTGCCACGCAAAACGCATGTCAAAACCAAACGGTTTCCTGGGCTTTTTGCAGTAAACGCCTGCATTTTCACCTGTTTTTCTGGTGTTTCAAGGCTTCAGCAGGACGCCGCGTGGAAGGCAGCTCCCAGCAACATCACCCGCATCACCCGCATCAACGGGACAAGCCCGCAGACCCACAAGCCCGAGGCTGCAGACCCGGAACGGGACCCAAAAACAATCCCAAAAACGAAGCAGATGATGCAGGTGATGCTCATCACTTTCCTTTTCACGCACCCCCGGCCGCATCCTCGGCATGCACAGGGTCGGCGGCACCATGCGGCAGCCCCACAGGGCTTCGCTCTAGAGCCTTGCTCCAAAGGACCAAGGTGGTAATGTGACACAGCCGTTCGGCCAGTTGGCCGCGGGCGGATTTACGTTGCTGGCGCACAACTGGCCGCGGCAGCATCGCGAGGCTCATCCTGACAGCTCTTGCAAGGATGGCAAAGCAGGCAGCAGCGACAAAAAACAACATAAACACATCTACATTTCCTTACTTGCACACATACACACATCCATTTTCCAAACATCTTCCCGCAGTTTTCCATCCATCTTCCACGTTTCCCATCTATTTTCAAGCCATTTCCCGTCATTTCGCCATGTCCCCTTCACCGCCCGCACGCACGCAGGCACGCGCGCGCAAGCACACACGCGGGCACGCACACGTGCTCACGCACGCACACCCACGCACGCACGCACCCACACACAGGCACACACACACACACACCAGACTCACGCACAACACACACCCACCCACCCACGCACGCGCTCACGCACCCACCACACACACACACACGCGCGCGCATGCACTCGCACGTCACGCAAGCGCCCCACACACACGCACACCCTCCCTCCCTCCCACCCACCCACCCACCCACGCGCGCGCGCGCACGCACGCACGCACGTGTCAAGCCAGATTGCGCAGGCATGTATGTGTCTCTTTACGTATATACGTACGTATGTCTGCGCGTAATGTAATGCAACGCAAGGTAATGTAAGGCAAAGTAATGCAATGCAATGCAATGTATGCATGCATGCACGCATGTATGTATGTATGTATGTAAGGTAGGTATGTAATGTCATGCCATGTAATGTAATGTAATGTATGTATGCATGTACGTATGCATGTATGTATGTAATGTATGTATGTGTGTTTGTATGTATGTATGTATGTACGTATGTACGTATGCATGGATGCCATTGATTCTGCCTGTTTCTGAATCAACAGCAAGCAAGCAGGTTAGCGTCCCACTCTCACTGTTTACCTCATCTTGCTGCATTCTCGCAGCGAAGCTCTTGCGCCACGAGCGATCTCTTTAGGGCCAACTGTTGAGGGCGAAACAAACGCTGACCTTGACGCTGCAAAACGGCCCCGCGCGAAAATTCAGAGGCAAACGTCGCAGCCTGATCAAAATCATCGTGCGCTTGTCAACTCCATACTGCGCAACCAGTTGAAAGTCCGCGCCACCCTTGAATAGTCGCAATGAACTTGGGGTCCGGATCCTCTACCCCAACCGGTTGCGCCCCCGCTGAATGTCTTCCTCTGCAGGCTTCTCTGCGCGATGAGGAAATTTGAATGCTGAAGCATGCTTTCACCCTTGAAATTCCGGGCAACGCAATCAATGCACGGCGGTTCATAAGGCGCAAACCAGCGTCAGGAGACTTCCAAAATTCCTGACCACGTTTCAACATACGCCCAACTGCTAATAATGGCTGCCGCGCATTGGAGAGGATTGCGTTGCCCTTTGTGGTGGGCCCCAAAGGTTCTGCATCTTGGCTCGCCCTCCAGATTGGCAGTGAGCTGAATCGGCGTCAAAAATCCCACGAACCAGTCTGACAGCACCAGCTGGCGTGCTCTTCCCTTGCGTGTCGCGCGCTGTAATCCGCCGACCCCTTCGCCTAAAGGGGGAGGCGCGCGGGAAGGCGATGGCAAGAATGCTGGGGATACGCAGTGATAGTCAGTATCAGGCAAGCGATGGGTGATCGCTACTGGAGATGCTGGGGGTGGTTGTCATCGTCG